AACTTCTCCTGAAACCAGCTACCACCTTGTAATGTTTATTTTGTTCGAAACAAGCGTAAGCACAAAACAAAGCATCTATTCTCTAACGTGACTCTTAAAATGATAACATCAGTTGCAGGCGCCATTAACATCATTTATCAGACTGAACGAAAGCTGTCATTTTGTTAGCTTGCATGCACTTGGACCAACACGCCAGAGGCTCGTAAATTAAAAAGTCTTTCTGCGACGACGCAGCTAAGCATATCAGTCTGACTGCTTCATTTATAATTATGCAATAGAATGTACACATCATTCATCAGGCCTCAAGATTTATCGACTGCTGTAATTTTGTTAGCTTGCATGCACTTGGACCAACACGCCTGGGGATCGTAAATTAAAAAGTCTTTCTGTGACGACGCAGCTAAGCATATCAGTCCGACTGCTTCATTTATAATTATGCAATACAATGTACACATCATTCATCAGGCCTCAAGATTTATCGACTGCTGTCATTTTGTTAGCTTGCATGCACTTGGACCAACACGCCTGAGGCTCGTAAAATAAAAATTCTTTCTGCGACGACGCAGCTAAGCATGTCGGTCCGACTGCTTCATTTATAATTATGCAATAGAATGTACACATCATTCATCAGGCCTCAAGATTTATCGACAGCTGTCATTTTGTTAGCTTGCATGCACTTGGACCAACACGCCAGAGGCTCGTAAAATTGAACATCGCTCTGCGACAACGCAGCTAAGCATGTCAGTCCGATTGCTTCGCTTATAATTATACGATATAAGAAATAAAAAAATATAATTCAGTATTCCTCGTCGACGAAAACGTGAAGTCACGGACGGACAGACAGACAGAGGGACAGACAGACAGACGGACGGACATGGCGAGCACAATAGCGTTTTTTTCATAAATGAGAAAATGCGCTAAAAAAATCCTGGAATTCAATGTGCGTCGTATTTTCGCCCTCACAGACGCTTAAATTTCGCGTACAGTTACGGAAAAATCCTCGATCTATATCATGACGAGACAATATTTGTTCATATAGTTCTGTCAAATAAAATTTATTCAATGTTTATTAGTTATCGTTAGAAAAATGATTTAGGTGGATTCATGCATCAGATGAGTAAAAGATGTAGTTATACTCAACTTGAAAGTGAGAGCTATGATGTTTTTCAAAAGCTTTAACAATTCATTGTCGACCGACACGTGACCCATGGAATTATGGGATGATGACGCAAATGATGATCGTGGTGACATACAAATGATGACAATGATGACTCATGTAAGTGGACAGATTTTTTTATCAGAATTCAGCTTATTATATGAATAAATTCAGTCAATGAATTTTTAATTCGCCTATTGTCATCGCAGCTTCTGTTAATGAATGAGGAATGTTAAATAAATTACACCTCTGAACCTGCAGTGTTAACCACTTTACAAATTATTACCGATGGATAACTTAATTAAAGTATTTAATAATTTCCAACTTGTCGGTTCAGTACAAGATGTGTAAGCACCGAGCACCGGAACTGTAATGTGACTAAAAAATTAATTATATTAGAATATTTAAATTCATTAATTGCAATTATTTTTGACACAGTACATATCATTCGCCTCTATAGTAAACCAATTAAATACCATTTGAGTGAAATTGAGTTAAGAATAGACGAAATAATTAACCATGAGTATATTTATAATCAATTATCATGGGTCTTTTAGTTTAATAATTATTATTCTATATGCTATCATTTGTCGAATACTGATTTTACAATAGTATTGAATTTTTACAATCGAAATAAATAAATAAATATATATATATATCTATATATATATAAGAATTTCGAACAATTACCGGACAAAATTGGTAACATTTCAAGAGCTTCATATAACTCAAAGAAAATGAATCATCGACTAAACATTAAGTCATATNTATGTGAGGCAAACCGCTTCGGCTGCGTAGGAGTTGGTTGACAACATATCAAAATTTTCATCTTGTGATTTATCTACTTTTTGTCAACGGATACCATAAACGCTTAATATTTTCATTGAGCTAATTTATTAGCATATTAAGCATTTTGAGCGAGCCTATACGATTAAAAACTCGATACCAGATTACGTCGACAGATGATCATTCAACAATTGTGTACTTTTCTGTAGGCGTTTGCAGCTTAGACTGAGGTATTCTGGAGACGTACAACAGGCAGCTTCATACACGATGAATTGATCGTGTAATGATCATACACGATGAATTGATCGCTTTAAATGACGACTTGATTGGCGTCAGTGGAGCTCCAGTTTTATTTTTCTAAATTTTAAACTTGCTGATGATTTGTGCTCGTCAGTTTTGCCTTGTAAGATCTTTTTCATATTCAGCCTATGATTTTTCATCATTGTGTAGATGGTAGTAATACCAAACCCATCGAATACATTTTTTCACCAACAGCTTCATGCCCCGCCATAAACGCAACTTTGCCTACGGTGAACGATGCAGCAAGATGTGATCCAATTCTGTCCAATTTTTCCAAGTGTTTGTTGCGATCAGCCAAGCTCGTGAGTATTTCAGTACACTAGCGCACTAAGCTCATCGTGCAATTACTTGATCATTTGTATAGACATGAACAATTTTGTCTATGCGCTAATTTAGGACCCAATCTATATTTTTGCAATCCCGCTTTTTAACCGCTGAATTGAAATGTTTAGCGCTTTCTTAAGCATTATAAGTGAACGTGCAATGAGTTATTATACATGTAATTTAGTTTATAGCGTTAGCAGTGAACAGCAATGGGATACTATACATCTAGTTTAGTAGTATGTATTACTCCCTAAAATACGAGTTTTCTTTTTTGCATGAGGAATAAAAATATATCAAAATCTCCTGATCTAGGGAGCCCGCAATTTTGAGTCTCTAAAATTTCATCCCGCTTAATATTTATTCCTTGATTATTTCTCGACAGCTGAAACCCGACAACACATTTGACGATGTGGCGTTCAAGACGATTGCACTGAAGAAAAAATGCATATAATAATAATAATAGCGGTTTCAGCGTTTATTAGGCCGTAGGCCTGTCGCCGATTCTTAACATCGCAGAACGTTCACAGCTTGTTGTGGTCTCGAACATACAACTCACTGCTAAAATTCTGCTGTGCTTAACCGCCCGGCCTCCTCGCCGATTCTGACCAGAAACTGGCGCATAGAGCTGGGATCGAACCCGTACCTCTCTGCGCCAATCTTGGTACTCTGGGGCCATACTTCCAAAACTCGCTAAGTGATCGTAAGTCCCTATCGCACTATTTTCTTGTCTATAATTGGTGGATTTTGCTTGAAAGGCCGTCAATGATTGGCTGATGAACTTACGATCTCTTAACTTTTTATGAAAGTATAGGCCCTGAACTGTAACCACTGGACCACCCTGCCAAATAGAATTATTCCAGCTGCTGGAGTTATGAACCCGCAACTCAGAGCTCAAATTTTTGTTGTTCTCTAACACACAATTGGTAATATATTACCATATCTAATAACTGATGTTTTAATTCACCTTTTTAACGAAAGTCATTACAAATGCATAATATATAGGAATTGTTTCTAGATTACATAGAAAAAAATCAAGTTAAAACCCTAGTTTCCGACCCTAATCATCATGCTGCCGTGAACGCCTGTATACGAGTATACTAAGAAATAAACATACAATACACTTCATGCATTATTCCATGAAAAATTGTATACTAAAATTTCAGAATTCTGTGTCAAATTTAACCAATTATAATTATCGCTTACGTAAAGTTCATGCGCGCCATGAGAATGTCAACAATGTTGACATCGATGCCAGAGTCGGGCACTTGGTAGCCGTGGTCGTCGCGGACGAGACCAAAGAACGGCCAATTGTCGACCACTGAAACCAAAAGCTTTCGGCCCTTCAAGTCTTGCTGGCATAAGCTCCGGACGGTCGGCATCAAAGGGGAACTTATAAGTAGAGTTTCCTTGACTGAAACGCCTGGATCGTTGCACGAATTATCAAGCATAGGATTGTCGTCAAGCTGGCAGGCTTTCTCTTCAGAGGATGTCCAAGTGCTAACTTACGAATAACTGTCTTGAGGTAAGCGTGAGGCATTTATTATGGTGGTAGGGACACGTCCATTACCAACTGCAGTATATTTTTCAAGTTTTAGCTAGCATATATGTATTTGGATTATATATGATTTAACTTACTTGATCAACACTCATAGACTGACGAAACTCATAGTTGCTCGACTTCTCCAACCCATGACATGTGAACCCTAGGTCGTGCTATGAATTCTAATCTTAATTGTGCAAAATACAAATAATTCATCTGTCTAAACTTTTAACTTTGAGCCATTTTTGACCCTTCTCTCTATAAATTCGAAATATGTTCTCAGATTTCTGAAGTGATTCTTGATTTTTGACCAAACATCCACTTGACCAATGTCTTCAAAGATTCTGTATTTGAATGAAGTAATTTCAATATAATAAACTCAAAATACTGCTAATTTACATTCTGTTTATTAGCGCCATCCCGCAGTTAACAATTCGGAACCCTATGTATAGACGTGTATGAATGCCTTTATTCGACCTAATAAGTAGGTATTCAACCAACGCCACATAAATATGACTTGCTAGTTTAGTGTTAAACTTGCGTAAAAATCATTCCGTAGGAGCAACACGCAATATATGTCGGGCATCGTTCGACTCACCCAACGCTGTTATCTTGCATAACCGTTGACCGGAGAACAACGGCTCCATCGATGACCCGTACGACCACGAGCGCCTGTAAAGATTGAAAGTAATGTATAGCAATTATTGTTCACCCAAGCCACTCGACAAAATGCTATAGTTACCGATCATTAAATTAATGGATTTTCGAGCTGTTCAGCCACTGGGGCAAATCTAAAATAGTAAACTATCTCAACTGTGCACGGATTGCCCTCGAGAGAGCCGTGATTGTGTTCTTCCAATAATCATCATGTTCGTTTTCAACCAAGCGTAAATTTTCCCCAATTAATTAATTTATTTGTATCCAAGAATACCTGTATGCCTTCATTGAGCAAACTCTGAAGCAGTCCTGCGTCAGCCATGCTATCCACGAACAGCAGCCACGTCACCCACAGACTCTCAAGGCGCTCATTCTTTAACTGAAACAGGCGATCTAATATTTTATTTTCATCAGAAAGTTCAACAATAATCATATATTAATATTCTAATTACAGGTATAGCAAATATTCTCATTGAATCTTGGATGAAATTAGTTTTACTTCATGTCTCAATAAACAATGTGGCTTTACGAGTAATTGTAACGGTAGCATGCTGTGGGTTGCCGGAAATTAAATTTAATTGCATATCCTGTAAGGATTTTACACAGTCGAGTTTTGAATTTTCAAAAGTTTATTTAATCAATGCAAACAGAATAAGGAACTTAGGGTGGAAGCAGCAACGGCGCATCCACATATAGTTAAGATTTCATTTATTTTGAATTCATTAAAAGGCTGCAAACTGCTCTTCTGGTAACAGCGCAGAAGTTAGGATGAATTCTTCAACAGCTTTGCAGATGTGCGGCCAGGCAGGGCAGTTGGAGGTGTCTCCTCCCAGCAGTGAAGCAGTGCAGAGTGTATGAACTCCATGCGAGTTTACTTGGCGAAAAAATTGCATCTCTCGATTTTGCTCGCGCAGAACCCATCGTAACTTGTCCGCACAGCTGGACAAAAAAAGACGACCGCACTGCGCGAAAAAATTAAATCATCTGATGTTTATGTAATTCTCGGTGAGAAATGTTAAATTTCTCACAATCCAACTATTCTGAATTTAGTAGTATTTACATATTACAGTAATAGCTGATGCATTAAAAGTAATATGTTTAAATGGCCTCCACTCTGCTTCCAGAACGACAACAGTGGCGTGTTCGTGCAACGTGCAGTTGTCCCTGAATGATCGAGCATAGTTCATTTGGCGAATGTTTATATCTTATGAACTTCTAAAGCATATTATCCCTTCAAGGTATATATTAGAACACTCTCGATTAATACACTTATTTTTGTTTTGCAACAAAGTTAAATATAATTATCTATTGCTACAGAAAACTGTAAGCCAAATTGTATATACGATCCAATATACAGCTTTTGCCAAAACAATAATCCAATTTTATAATTTAACATAAAAGTATATGAGTTGCTGCCCTCCTCAGAAACAATCAAGTACCACTATACATTTTTCGATGTTATGCATTTTCGATGTGGCCAGAATCTTTGCAAATATTAGTCTCAGCTCCCAAAAAATGTCAAAAACCACACCTGTTCCAGTATAGCGAGCAGTTCCTGCAGCTGACAGTGCATCACCACCACCAAGCTGCTGCCCGAGGACACCCCCGACAGCGCCTCCTTAAGATGCGAGGACGCGCGCGCTCCGATCCTGACGCCGGCGCTCAAACCCCACAACGCTGAGAATGTCAAAGACTGGGGACTCTGAATTAATAAATACTATTTATATTCTAAGTATTATCGATAGGTAATGATCAATATATGGAAAAGAAAATATGTTTAAGCAGCTAAACTACTTATTAATATACTAATAATTAATGTATAAGCAACTAAATACCAAGTAAACACCAAACATAATAAATGAGCTACTAAATACCAACCTATATAAATTATGACAGTATTAATAATACTGTTAAATACAATTAGTATATAACAAAGTCTTTATTACAAAATCTATTAAGCACCTGGGTTTATAAATTAATACAAAAATGATCTGCAGGTGCGTCGTGCTCAGACTCACGCGTCAGGCTGCTCGCTGTGCAGGTGCTTTCTGCTTGGACTCACTTGCAGCGGCACGAAGCATGAAATGTCGGTAAAAATTTATCATGCCCATGAAACGACGAAGACCTTTGGCTTTCTCAGGTCATTGAAAATCCTAGATTGCCTTCACTTTTTTCCTACGCTCGTGATACGGTGGCCCAGACAGTCTGGTTGTGACGCTCCGAGTTCGCATTTCAGCAGGTTAAGTTTTTGACCGTGAGTCAAACGCGTGAATATGGCACGCATTTCTTCTAAATACTGTTCATCGTCGTCTGATGCTATCAAGATATCGTCGATGTAATTGAAAAAAAGTACTGGACGGGATCCTCCTCCGTCTAAGAAAACTGAGAAACCGCGAGTTTCTTATCAAGAGAGCATAGAAATGTCTGACTAGCGGAGCACAAGCTAATGTTCATTTTGAGGAACTCGTATGAACCTAGTGGAGTGACAATGGTGGTTTTTAGGGGGGGGAAGGTTGAAGTCATCTTTGCCCAACTTCACACTTAGTTCATATTCATTTCCGTAGGTAAGAACGCTAGAGGGCATAACAGCCTATGAAGTCAGGTGCTCAAAGCCATATAGTAACGCCGGATGTCCATAGCCCACACTTGAACTTGCTAATGGTAAGCATGGACATACTGCATCTGACCAAGGCCCAATCTTTTCCGATCTAACTTCTTTAGGCCTAACCTACACAAGTTGAGTCATTTCTCCACTCAAAACGATCCTGAGCGGACCTAACCTAACCTCATTGGCTCCAGGGAGTTAGAAAGACGGTATAAATGTGCTAGTAGAGCCAGTCATTGGCTGCAAGAAGGTGAGCCGGGACAGCGTAAATAGGTTAGGCCAGAAGAGGTTAGGACGGAGTAGGTACAACCGGATGAGAAACTGCCTACTCATGAGCGAGCATGCATAAGCATTCGCCGAAGACCCTATTATCTTTCGGCAGTGTGTCACTGGTCTGGATTAAAAGCTTCAAGCGTAGTATGTGGTTTCTAGCTCTGAGGCTGAGTAAAGATAATGAGGCTGGGCGTTGCCTTCAGGGCATATTTAAGAGTAAAATTTGTAGCCTACGGCTGCGCCACTGTTTTTGGGATGTCAGCTGGGTGAATTGGCACTTGCATGAACGCATATTTTAGTTCAAAACGTGAAAACACTTTCTTACCATTAAGCTCGGCAGTGAAATTTGTTCGGAAGGGTAATGTGTCGGTATCAG